CCCGTCCGGTGTGGGGGGAACGCGGGGGGGGGGGGGGGTGTCACCCGGTAACCGCTCCCGGTGACACCCGGCCTCGGGACGCCCCTGGTAAACCATATGTACTGCCTTTTTAACAAAAATTGATGTGGGTTCCCCTAAAAAGGTAAGCTAAACCCTTGGGTGCATATAGGTGGAATGGGTGAGACTGAGAAGGGCCTTTGCTGAGACAATGTTATTTTGCCCTGCATGGACAAGGTGACAGTGTCTTTTTATGTCAGTATTTTAGAGTAGAGGTGCCCATAATTTTGAAAGACAGTCTCCTAGTCCAGCTGCTTTGACCACATCAGGTGATGATCTAATGTCATTGAAGTACTGTACAACAGCCCTGAATGAGTGTTCTAAAAAACAATACTAGGACTGTCTGTGAGTGGCTCCCCCTCCATTGCTTTAAACAGCAGTGTTTTTTTTTATTACCAGTGGCCTCCAACTTAAAGAAGAAACTGGACAAACAGATATTGTAAGATGCTCAGATCATGCAGAATTGTCCGACCATGCACAAGTGTCCATGTTTGGTCCTGTTTGGCCCTTTTCAAATAGACATTCCGTCAGTCATTTGAACCTATGATTACACTGATAAGAAAGGGACTGCAATGTATCACTATAGGTGGCTGGATGTAAGTGGGCATGCATCCGCCTATATACGCCAGTCGCCCACATCCGGGTCCATTCAGGTTCAGATTGAATGTAAAACGTTTGTGCCCAGGTCTGCTTTTACCTGACCAGATGTGGGCGGATACACGCAGATGCGCGTCCACTTATATTCATCAACCCTAAAGATTACATAGGTCTGCCTTTCCATCATTGCAAGACTAGGACTATTCTAGGATCCCCTGCTGAGAGGGAACACAGGGTGCCCATGTGAAAAGTGCTGTATGTGTCAAATAGTGACAAAATTTGGGTAATAGAGAACACTCAATTTAGATATATTTTCCTAAAAAAAAGCAAAACAAAAACCCAACTTCAAAATATACATAGACTAAAATAAACAGAGTAAATACAAATAATTATTTGCATTGGCTTAAAACCGAGCCTTGGTGAGCTAAACTTTGTTTTAATCTTCTTCCTATGGATTGGTTTTGGTATTGGAAGCCAAAACGTCTTGCACACTCCTAGCAACCACTAAAGCAACGACGCACAGGTAAACAAACATAATTACTTATTATTAGAAAGTGGTTTCACTGACTGAGTAGGAAAAGTATTGTATAACGCTCCAGCATCGCTGAACACGGGAGTTTTTCATTAGTAGAATACAACCTTGCCAAAACTAAATTATATTCGTAAAGCAAAAGTTACAGCACACTTTGCTTATTGATGCAAATATAAATAGCAGGCAAACATTGCTTTGTGATGTCTCTCTGAGATATTTGTATGTGAGATGGGTGATGCATATATGGGTGTGGTAAGGTTCCCCTAATTTAACTTTGGCTGAAAGGTTTCTTGTACAATAGTGCTTTCATGACGAAATTCCCTTCCCTTAATCATTTACCTGTTTCTATTGCAGTCTACTGTTGTTACTGTGTTTTGATCATATATCAAAGTCAACCAACCCCCAACGTAGCTACTCATTTGATTGCAGTGGTTGCTTCTTCTGCAACATGTAATGCTATACAGGAAATACAGTACTATGAATACACACACATACTGTATATAGTGTATATATGTCAAAAATAATTCTATGAATGCCAGAGAGTATTTTTTATAGAGGTCTATGCAATCTCTATAGCTTAAATGGGTCATATCTTTGCTCATATAGGAAAAAGCAACAGGTTCACTTATTTTGCTTTCTACACAGCACCACATAGTCACTTTGACTTTGCTCCCTTGCCATTCTCACCAGAAGCGAAAATAAATACTTGATACTTCTGACTATTAGCAGCATATGACTTTCTCCCTTGTTATGTGCCAGTGCAGTCATTGGCACAGAGTGCTGCCCAATGGTTTGGGAGGGAATCCTAAGCCCTCACAATTGAACAGAGTAGCAGGGGAGTAAATGAAAGGGGAGTATGTGTAGCTGGGGAGGCTGGTAGTAAGGTGAACCAGCATTAGCAAGGTGCAGTTTTTTTCCTTAAAGTCTAAACTCATGAATAGAGAGGGGAAGAGTTTGAACCTGTTGGGTTTTAATTGCTTTCAGTGTCCCATCATCTGGGAATTGCTAGAAAACCTCCCCAAGGGAACACTTTCTGTTTTGGCTGACACCAGTCAAACAAGCAGAAAATAAGGGGTCCCCAGTGGTGTTAGTGATACATTTAACAGATATTCTAATTCTTCCTCTTTCTATTCAAAACTAAGAAACAGTTTTGGATGTAGCTGGTTTTCAAAGCGTGACTTGACTGATTTGAGAAATATAATATGGTAATGCATTGGAGTGTGCAACTACTTCAGTAGTTTTTATTGCCTATGTTCTCTGTTATGCTCTGTTCATCCAGGCCTACTGTCAAGGCCTATGGAAATGATTATAATCTGATCTTATGTTTGGATAGCAGCTTTATTTCCTTCCAGGTTTTTGCCCATAGTCTCTGCTTTCTGCAACCTGTACCAGGTCAGTTTTGTCTTGCCTTTTCTTTGCCTGTCTTGAGGGTCCCAGGCCAGGGCAGTTTTTGCAGCCAAGTGCTCAGTCCTTCTGACCAAGCAACCATTTCCATTGTCAGATTTCATGATGATCTATTATTGCTTTGTTTCTCTTTGTAGTCCTTTATTGCAAACTGTGTTTTGTAAAGGTGGAAACATGCACAATTGGTGGACTTAGGTCCATATCTGACTAGCGATCATGTTAAAGGTGGCAATTTTCTAGTAACAGGATCCCTTTATAGAACACTGGCCTCTTCTACGGCATAGCTCCATCACTGAATGATAAGCTGCAAATGCAAACCTTGCTAACCAACAAGGGAGCTGCGTCAGAGTAACAGCTATTTTGTCTGGTCTGGTAAGTAGGTGCTTTACTCTCCTATTGACACTGTCACAGGTGACTTGCTCCAAGCGTCAAGATCCCTAGTGTGACATTGGTCGTAGTTATTCTCTACATTTTGCACAAGTAGTACCACTAATAATACAGTATTCTGGTAATGACACATGGCTATTGTATGTAATGATAACATACAGTATATATAAATTCCTTTCCTATTTTATGTGCTTTCATATATATCTTTTCTTTATATCTTTTTTTTCAGACCAAACTTTCCATGACAGATGCTAGGACAAACTGTAAAACTGCCGGATCAGGCAACCCTTTTGTCTCAACCCTTGTCTCTTTCTTTTAAACTGTGCAGCTTAGCTTGCTTATAATTGGAGAGAAGAACCTAAATAAATCAATGATAAATAAAAGAAATTAATATAGTGAATACTTTTATCAACATTATTAAAGTATAGCTAAGGGCAGAACCTTTTCTTAAGTCTTGGATAGAGTAGGGGAACGTAAAACCTCTGTCAGCTTTCTTTGGCATCTATGTCTCGTTAGAGAGATTTACCTTCACTTCTTATCCTGTAGACTCAGTAAGTAACAGGAAGTGAGAGGATATCTTTCCAATTTGAGGATAATCCCCTCTTAGATAGTTGTCATCGGAACAAGTGTCCCCATTGGAAGGTTTCCCCTCGTTCC